GTTTACATAAAGAATAAATAACCATTTTGAATTTTAAAAGGTTCAAGCAATTTATATATTTATAATTCAATTCAATTTCATTTTCGATTTCTGCTTTTTGAAGTTTTTGATTTATAATCTTTCGATGCCTTTTCAGATTAATATAATTATTCTAAAGCATCAGCTAATAAAATATACCTAATTATTTTACCTTTAGCTTACTAATAGTTTAATTCTTTAGGGTAATTGAAATTGCTAAATCATAATATTCCAAAGCTTCTTCTAAATTATTTATTTTTTCTAAGGTGATGGCTAAAATTCATAATTAGAGAAACATACCCTTATTATAATAATATTGAGAAATTTTTGGGTTTCTCTAAATTGCCAAATCATAATTAAGCAAAGCAGCTTCAAATTTGTTCATTTTTTGTAGAACTACATTCAAAATCCACTTAATATAATATGTTAGCTTAGAAATCATACATGCTGTAATATACCTTTGTTATTAAAAATTTTAGAATCTTCAGGATTCTTATTTATTGCCAAATCATAGTTTTCTAAAGCTTCTTCTAATCTGTTCATTTTTTCTAATGTAGTAGCTAAAGAATCATACATAATCAAATATACCCTTGTTAGTAAGATATTTAAAATTTTCTGGGCCTTTCTAAAATGCCAAATCATAATTTTCCAAAGCTTCTTTTTATCTGTTCATTTGTTTTAATGTGATTGCTACAATAGCGTTAATATTTCAAACTTTATCATCAAAGAAGATTTATTCTAATGAAGGGGATTTGGAAGATTTAATTGACAGACTTGATAAACATTTTTGATAAGATTGCTGCTGTTTATCAAGAAGCAGGAATGCAAGCTACTTGAGAAATAGATATATATATGTATGTTATTAAATAAAAGATCTTGAAAGAGACCTTAAACAAAAGCTTGAAGTTTTTTACACCAGAAAGCAAAATTTCAGTTTTCAAACAATAGTTTTACATAATTTTAGGTGAACTTTTAATAACATCATGAATGGCTCGAGTGTGGACCTATTTTTATAATTCCAAACTGAAAAGCATAAAGTCATTAGCTAAAATTTGGAAATAGTAGACTTTCAGCAACCACTATCACCATAAAAAGCTACTTATTGACACCACTAAAGAAAAATGAAGTTTTAACTTAATTCTTGATGGATTCTGAGCTGAAATTATCAAAAAGAGACTTTTTCAAATTCAACTGGTCTTGATGTAACAATTAGGTTATTAGAAGCTGGACTTTCTTACTTACTAATTGACTTTAAATTTCCATAAGTTTGGACATATTTTCAATATCAAGACAAGGTCTTCTAATTTTTCCGTAATTATATCTTAACAAATTCAAAAAAAAGATTGTCACTTACTTACTTCCTAATTATAAGGCTCCCTTCTCCAAATTTCTAAACTTTAAATAAATCGGCAGTTTCATGCATAGTGAAGAAAATTATAAGACTTATGAGAACATAATAATATCTTTATGATAGAAAGTAATTGACTTATATTTATATATTATTTTTCTTATTGATTTCCAAAATACTTCTTCTATATGGAGCAATTTATCTCACTATAAATAGTGTACTTTTAATATATGGAGTCGAATTAGAAGTAAGTGATTCTTTTTTTAAGTAAGTTGTTAATGGTGAAAAGAAAATTACATGCTGCTTGATAAAAAGTTTGATGGAAATGCTGATTAAAAAATTAGAAGTTGACCATGCAAATCTATTGCCGTTAAGGAGATAAAAGTTAGGTGAAGATATTAACTATGTTTAGCTCGAAAAACCATTAATTTAAATAATTAAAAGAATAAAAACTATTTTTACTAACTCTTATTCTCCATCGTTAAGGCATAAGTTTGTATAAAAGTTTGTATTAAAATTTGGGTAGAATTAATATAAATCCAAAACTTGGTATACGAAGTTGTGACTATTAAGTGTTTAAAAGAGTAAACATGCGAATACATTGAACTTTTAAATCTCAACCAATATTTTATGATACAACTCAACAAAATTTATAAATTAATCTTGCGTATCCAAATCATAAACATAAGTTTGCATAAATTTTAAGTTAGGAGAATGATTTTAAGCTTTCTGAATTGGAATGATGTGTAATAGTTAGAGTAATAGTTGCTAATATCAAAAGGAAAGTTAAGACAAATATACTAGAAGGATTTCATGTAAGGTAATCTATTGTTAGAAATAAAAAAATAAAATTATTGCCATCAATTAGTATATCTTTTTTATTTCGTTTACTTTACTACTTCTAAAAATTTCATTAATTCTTATTTTTAAATGTACTTTAACAGCAAAGGTAAAATAAGGAGTGAGAGTTAGTAATGATGCTCTGAAAAAAAGAGAATGAGAATAATTTCATTCAATAATTTAATATAGATAGATCAACTTAATTATGCTTCCTTAATAAATTCGAACATAATAAAATAGGAAACTTAGTTTAATAAAATCTTCATAAACGAAATTAAAAAAATGTTGGAGATTATTCATTATAATTTAAATGATGGAAAGATTAAAAGAGTATATCATCATAGAATGTCTATCTTTCAAATATTTGTTTTAGAGCACACTGAACAATGAGTAATCAACAATAATTCTTTTGAGACTCCCTTGAGCTTTTATGAAAGCACCTGCTAATTAAATTTAATTCGACTCTAATTAAACATTTTTTACAATGAATATTCTAAAAAAAAGGACTCGACGATTATTAGGATAATGTCCTATTAGAATTAAAATATTATAAAATTTTCTTCTACTAGATTTTCATAAATTTATTTTAATAACCAAGTCTCAACCAAAATTAGGTGTAAAAACAAAATAATCAGTAGCCTAGAATAAAGGAACTATTGAAAAGCTATAAAAAAAGTTCATTTAAAATGATAATTGAAATGAAATTTGATAAATTAAATTAAATGTTGTTTGATTCTCTAAACTAAACTTAATGAACTACTGCCTGGTTATACATATTAATTATTTGAGAATTAGAGGTGCCCTATTTGATTACAGTAGAAAATATTGCCTAAAGGATTTGATATAACGTTTACTTTTACGAAAGTTGAATAAATTATTCAAGTGTGCTTGAGAGAAGCCTAATTACTTGGAATATCGTATATTTTTGTAGATTTAACAATTCAATAATAAGAAAAAGTGGATATAGCAAATTAGTGTACTAAATTTTCTATTGTATTTAAATATATTTGATGCGATAGATATTTGAGAATTAAATATGATTATTAAAGCTACTTGATACTAGATTTTGTACTAGTAACATTATTTTGTTAAAATATTCCTAAAGAATTCCATTTAGCAAATTTAAGCTGCTTACTACGAACTCTCTTCCTTAACATACCCTAACTATAATTGGCTTCAGTGTTATATTTCCCTAATGAATTGAATAAGAGAATACTGATATTGTACTTGATTTGTTGCGATTTTGATTACCCTTTGGGTGATCTTACGAAAAGTTCAGATGTTTTTTTCTCAAAGAGACAGTAACAATCCAAATATTTTACAAAGGGGAGGTGGGAAATACTCTTGAATATGATAGCAGTAATAGAACAATTTTAAAGGATTCCATCATTCTTCTTTAATAGTTCGCTACTTTACACAATATGACATTGTCCTAATAAATAAAACATTTGCCAAATGCTATAAATAAGCAGTTTATAATCATCATATTTTATAAAATATTGATTTATTATTATACTATTTTTACCCCAAAAACATTTCTCCTTCTGGTAAATTCAAATATTTGAGATGGTATCTATTGAAGTTTTTCCTAATCAAGAATTCAGCGAATTTATCAAATAAAATGTTTATTCTAATCTTAATTAGCCAAAATGTTTAAAAGAATCTTTAAATTAACTAGGTCTTTTAGATACTTAATTGATTAAGTTCTTTTATGATTTATTCATCTTGCTTACCTTCTAGATAATAATAATTTAGATGCTAATTAAATAGCATTTACTTTAAACTTTTAAGCATTGGAATATAGCTAATTACAAATTTCAAGACATAATTGTAAGAGACAATATATGATTTAATTGTGTTGAGAACAAGTTTAGAGTAATTTAATATTAATCTAATTTTATATACCAAAAGATATATCCAATTGAATAGCTGACCTTAACAGGTAATAATCGATTTAATTCCATACCGAGAATCATTATACCATAAATATTAATCTCAACTAAAATTACGAATTACACATTAAGCAGACAATGAGATAAATCGTTCATTCAAAGGTTTTACATAAGGCTAAGATTAAAGGAAATATATATTTGCAAGAATTTACCTACACTTGTGCCATTATTTAATTAGTTATTTTGACTGTATTTTCCTCCTCTGATAAGTGAATGGACCCTAAAAATTAAATTTTCATAGATCCAAACCCTTTAAGAAATTACTGAAAAGTTTTGAGCTATTTTTATTAAATATTTTCACTTTTTGATCTTTTTTTAAATGTAAAGGCTTTCCAAGATTTATTAGAGAGCTTAAATTGGATGTTGTAAGGTTGATGATGGGCTATCTATCGGGATTAATTCTGGTATGACATACAGATCATTGTTATTTTTTTTATAATTAATCATAATGTTAAAAAAAAAAAATTTCCTCTATGCATCAATTATTGATATTAATATCAAGATGCTGTTTAAGAAAGAAAGATTAGGTATGAAGCAATTTAATATTAAATAGATTAATAGATCAAAATTAGGTATAATTTTTCTTTTGAAAATGCCAGAATAAAATGAGTAAATATTAGATGATCTTAAGTATTTACTATGTGTTATAAATTTATGCTGTTTATGTTATTTGACAAATTGAAAAATCACAAATTTAATAAATTAGAATGCTCTGATGTCAAATCGGCGTATTTCCATAAATGAATACTAAAATAAAATAAATTTGTATAGGTTTACAATTTTTCATCCAATAATTATTTAAAATAAATTTTTAGAATTACCTATCATAATTTTAGTATAAATTAGTCTTGGATATATTACTCAAGCAACTTTATTTTAATACTTTTTCATAGAAGCAACCAGATAATAATAATAGACGATAGGTTTACATTTATAAGGAAATTATAATGAATTTAATATAATAAAGGAATTTTATTAATTATTTGAATTTGCGTCAGTAATTGTATTAAGTAAATAACTAAAAATTATTCGCTAAAGCCACCTCAATTTTAAAAATCAAATGCATATCAACTAGTGATTTAATCTATCCTACCTTGAAAAAGGTTTTTAATTTTATTTTTTATTAATATTAAATTTGAAAGGAAATAAATTATTAAATTTTCATCTAATTGTTCTATTCTTATTTGAAAATATAAAACATTAGAAAAAGGCCTTCTATGAGATTCTAATAATATAAAAGAATCATTTTATATCGTCCTATCAAATCGATTCGGATGATTAATTATATTATTTCATGAAATTTCTAAAAAAGGCAGATTTCTTTGGAGTACCATTTGTATAAAATATCGATCACTAATAAGCAAAATATCAAAGTGTGACTGGAGGAATATTAACAATTACAATCTGTATATTAAGTTTATCCTATACATTTTGGGTTGGCTACCTCTGGAAATCGAATTAAATGAATCCAAAAATATCTCGCGAGCATTATGTGTCAGACTATTCTCTCCTCGACTTAAGTGAGGATGTTGTAAGACTATAATTTTGGAAAAGATTATGATAATAAAATTGATCCATTTGCAAATAATATTTTATTGCCATTAGTGGTTTACGCCAAAAACAACACATTGACAGACGCAAAAATAATAGAAAATCATATCAATACAACTTTAGGAGACTTTTATGTACCAGATATGAAATTGGGTTTCTCTTATTATAATGGTTATATATACACTTCCAATGAAATGTATATAGAAATTGTGCTATGTTCAGATGAATATCTAAAACCTGGAGAAAAATGCGCATCGCCAGAACTCACAGAAGAATTTTTTGCGCAAGCAAATAATTTGATAATAGTTGAATTTTATTCAACAACAGTAGACCCTCGAGATGGGTCAAAATAACGCGGATACTAAGAATATTATATGTAGATCGAGTAAAACTATTGCTATTTAGTAAATACTTTTTTTAAAACAAATTTGTTTGAACTCTAGAACTATTTTTTATTTGGTACTTCTGATTACAAGGAATATATTGTAGACGCATAAATATAAACTTAAACAAGTTCTTTTGAATATTGTTAGAAAGTATTTTAAAATGACGTAATTGCAGTGCTCTACCTTGGAATGAAAGGAACTCAAGAAAAAATGATTTTGGAATATCCACGTTTAGGAGATCTATTAGCAAATATCGGGTCCATCGTATCAATATTATTTATGCTCAAATACATAATTATGTTTATAAATTAACATTATTTAAACTAAAAGATATTAAATGAGCTCATTAGTTATTATTACCCGGAATTCAAAAAGATCTAAATCTCAAAGAACTGGAGAGGAATAATAGTTTAGGTTCGTTTAAATTAATTTGAAATAGATGCTAGGAGGTATATCAAATTTTATGATAAAGTTTCCAAATAGATGCGATAAAAATTTAGTTATTTGAATTTATTATATGAAATATCTAGGTTGTATTTTGTTATCAGATCATCGAAATTTCGAAATGAATTTTCGAAATCTCATTAAATTGGAATAAAGATTAATATTCCTTAGTATAAAGATAGCGAGACCCTTGTAAGCTAAAAGTCGGAAAAAATTTTTGAAAATAATTGCATCTTAAATGAGGATGATGCAGAAATATTATCTTAAGCCAGAAGTAAAATCGATAAAAATTTTGATCTAATTTCAGAAGAGTTATATAATGAAGTAGATTATTATTATTTGAATAAGATTCAATGAAATACATATCAATAATAGTTTATTTACATAAGAAATTTATATCTGATCTGTGTTTATAATCAATTTCCTTAATTAATATACCTTGTTATCCAAAATTTCATTGATATTCCGAATGATCTCTAATCATCCTCAATGCTTACGACGCAATATTTTTAAAATTAATATTAATACATTTCTAATTTTATTAAAATCAAATGATCTATTAATACTTTACGAGAATAAATTTTAATAAAAAATATATACTCTCCGTTTAAATAATACATTTATTCTTTACCCAATTAAGCATTTACTAATTCAAGTTAGTCTTAGAGACCAAAAGTATTATTGATTTTATCCACTTCTAAAATTGATATTAATTACATTATATACTTGGCTTATTTTATTTGTACTTTTATGAATACATTGGTCTTTTCTCAAAATTTGAGATGATTTAAATTAGAATTATCTGAATTTAAAACATTCATTTTTAACATTTGTTAGTAACTTTGCTATAAACAATTTATTGATCAACATCTTAAATCTACCTTTCTCAAACCCTTTTCAACCACTTTGAACACCAATATTATTTGCATATTTAAAATCTTCTCTTGTTAAAATCACCCTCTTTATCAATGAATAGACATATATCCATTATAATAACATAATTATAATTTTTATTAATTAATCCTTTTCATTTCAGTTTAAGCATTAATACTTCAAAAGATCCTTGCTCATACTCCAATAATTGTTATTTTCTCAATTTAAGAAATTAAATCATTTTACAAATATTAAAATATTGTGAGATGATAAAAAACTCAGCAAAAGAAAATTTAACTTAAGACCGAAAAATTAAACTTTACAGAAACCAAATGCCAAAGAACGAAATGAATAAAATTTCAATTAAGTAAAAAATATAAAATAAATTTCTCATCAATAAAGAAAGAAATTAAATTCTAATCAAAATATTTGGAAAAGTGAATTAGCATTACACAAGGTTTTCATTTTGAATTTTAGAATATTAACTAAAATCAGTATCTAAATCAGAGGATCCTTAATTATGAAACTATAAGAATACTCCTTCTATGTTTCAATTAGATAATTTGGATACCTCAACGTTATTTATTTTTCAAAATCATCCAAATTAGCATTACCTATATTATCATTAAACTAAACTAAATTCATTTTAAGACTAAAATGTAATATAATTAGGAAGTATATTTCGATTTATCAATAGAAACTTTCTGATTTACTACAATTTTAAAAATTGGCCTAAGATTTACTAATTAGAGAATTTCTATTTAGAGAATATATTCTCCAAAGCTTAGGTATGATCCATCATCCTATATAATTTACAAGTTGCATTTAAATCTGATAATTCAAATTTTTATGGTTTCTGATAAGGGTTAATTTTTATATTTTTACTTATTAAATAAAATATGACGCTTAAATATTATCTATTTTAAGTCATATTTAGATAATTAATAATTTAGCTTGGAGCTTTGACAAATATGCATTAACTAGGAGAATCATTTCTTATTGTGGTTCAACCCAATTTTATTCAATTAAACAATTCTTACATCCTTTTGCTTCAACATTCCTCCTTAAATCAACCCATCTTCATAATTAAATTATTCTTTGAATTAATTCAAAATTAGAATTAGTATTAATAATTGCATTCTAAACATAATATTAATAGAAATTTTTGGATAAATTTTTAAAATAAGATAAAAACTGTTTTTAATGAGTTTTAAGCTAATTTACATTACCTGAGAACAATCATAGCAATTTTCTGAACAAAAATACATCTATTGGAAAAAACCATCCAATTATAAATCACAATCTTCTTCTTTTGTTACTATTTAATCACCACAAACCAAGAAAGAATTGTTCTTAACAAACTCATATCCATGTATCATCCTCGATCACATTTATTACAATCATTTATGCATTGAAATTTTCATTAATATTGTTATTAATATTATTATTAAATATTAATAAATAACAGTATATTTACCATATATATAGCCTACTATTATAGTGTCTGCATAACTTTTAAAAACCTTATTAATACATTTTAATAAGCAGGTAGTTAGGTTAAATATTTTATTTAAGAAAATGAAATTAATAAACAATTCCACAAAAATTCAGTTGTGTATGAAGATGATTAAATGTCCATCCATTAGAATAAGGGAGATATTTCTAAAATTAAATTAATATTAATGCAATTTCCAATATTTTCATTTCGTAAGATAATTGTCTATGCATTCAGAACATTCATCCTAACATTTAAAGATACTTAATCTAAATGATAATAGTCCTCCTTTAGAGCTAGTAGTTAATCCAAGTAGTCTTCTATTATTTTACAAGTAATTGAAATAGCTTGGTAATATTCAGATTATACACAACCAAAAATTGAACTTTAAGATGATCACTCACGCATAACATTAAAAATCATAGTCAATACTTATTTAAGATGGACTATTGAAATCTATGCTTTTGCAATTAAAAACAATAAATACCATAGATATTTTAGTTCCACTAAAATATGAGAATGAGGTTCTACATTTAAAAGATATTGGTACAATAGAAGATATCTATTTTAATATAATGTAAATGGAACCTGACATCGCTCCCCATCCTAATATAAAAAATAAATTACCACCAATACCGCCAGAATTAAAATTAAACTCATAAATCATAGTTTGATGAGTATTGTGAGTATATATAAATATAATAATAATAATTATCATTATTAAAACTACCTTTAATAATTGTAATTTTGGCTTGGTTACTAGCACTTCAACAAACCCATTTTGTGCTTTAATTAATGCTTATCAAAAGAGAATTATCTCATTATTGGATATAGTGCTGTTATTGGCCAAAACTACTCCATTTTTTAGTAAATATTAGCACTCTTTTTATTTAATAATGTAGGTCGATTTTCTGAAGTGCTTAACACTTTCAGGTATCTCTCATTTCCGAAGGTAAAAGAGAATATGAAAAGTACAAAAACATATATTCTATTAATCAGATATAAATTGCTGATTAAATTGTGAAGAATTAATAAAATATTTTAGTAGCCAAATGAATTTACTTTTCGCAGCTATAATTTGAATATGTAAAACAACTTAAAAGCTTATACAAGGAAACAATCCTTTAAACAAAATAACTTTAATGCTAAATATTAGTTTACTTTCAAATTTATGAAATATTTTCAAAATTAAAATAGCGTCAGCCTGATTCTTAAGCATCTTTAATGGTTTATAAATACATACAATAGTTGAGGGCATTTATTGATATAATTTTTAATAATAAAATTGATGCGTGAGGGTTGATACATTTTTTACAAAAAATTTATAAAGTCTGCCTAAAATAAATAACAGGATTTACTAGTTAGGTCACGCTTAAATAAAGAAAGGAGTATTTGAGAATGAATGATTCTAGTCTATCAAAATGATGAAGAGTAGATTATGCTCCATTATAATAGCTAATGGAATAATTAAGGCTTATGAATGAGAGAAGGTTGAGCATGACGTGATACAAATTTTAATAAGACTATAGTATGTGTAGCCTCAAAAATACTTAAATTTTCCTAGAGTCATACCGTCGTGTTATGGGTTCCCTTAAGAATCAAACCAATAGGTGGCGTTCATTTAATGAAATGAGTATCTGATTCTAGGAATAATCAAAATAAATTAATATAAACTGTGGAAAATATCTTTTCAAGTAGATTTTGGGACTTAACTTGGATAAGTATGTGGGGGATTTCTGTTGAAACATCATTATAGTGAGCAAGAAGGTTTACTAATAAAGACTAATTAGAATAAAGAGGTTTGTAGGCTTTCTAAATTGGCGACATAGTCGGAAATTTCGATTAGATGTGCAAAAAATAAAGCATATAGAGACCTAAAATACTAAGATTAGTTCATGAAAAAATAACAAAAAATAAGTGAAAACTACAACTATTATCGAATGAAAAATTAGATATATTTGTAAATTAGTTAAAAAATAATCTAAATTATAGGTTAGACGAACTATTTTATATATATGTGCATTATTATGGATCTCATTAATTAAATATAAAGGATTTAAAATATATTTACATAATATAATAGAATGGTAGCAATATAAAGTTTGCAAATATCTAATACCATTATGAATTAAACGAGAAGCCTCTCTTTTTTTAATTTAATACTAATATCATATATTATCCTTTAAAATCACAGCCCTATAAATGCGTTATGGAATTCAAATCCTTAATTCCACCAATAAGAATTAAGGATTATAATTAAATATAATTAATTTAATTAAAGGAATTCAATAATACGAACATTTGCAACAATGTTCCAAAGCGTATGAAGATTATAAGTCTAAGATCCTTACTTGGTCCATAGAATGTAAAGAACTTTTCAGAGATAATTAATTATTGACCTATTATGATAATGCCATAGCCTATATATCATATCGAATATTACAAGCGTTTACTGTTTGTGGAATAATTATTTAAAATTTTGACTATGCGATTCAATATAAAAGATATCAAAGAAGACTAATTAATTGAATGAAAAAAAGAACGTAATGTATCTAAATTATAATAATTTATTTTAATATCTTTCATGCTAGTTCTTAAAACAAAAAGGGTAATTGGAATCCTGAAAATATCCAGAGCAAAATTAGTAGCTTTTACAAAGTTTTCATTTTTTTCGGATTTCTATTCGAACTCAACAAGTTTTAATTATTCATGCTCAGCATCCCTCTAGAAATATATAATATCATCAAAACAAATATATCAAGATTTTGACGCTGAGATCTACAAAAAAATTGATTTATGAATAAAATAGATGCATATGTTAAATAGATTAGAGTCAGTTAAAAATATTAACTAAAGTTCTTAATTTTATTGATAATATTAATCTTAGCCTAAAATGGTACTCAAGATATTAGTCTTTGATGGGATAAGTTTTTCAGATAATAGTTCTAATTTTTCAACCCTCTAAAGAATAAGCCTTAGGGTGTTTTATTACGATTATCAAATCCCCAAGTATTTGACAAATAGGGAAGCTGCAAAATCAATTTTTTCTTAAATTGAACAATTGAGACAAAGTTGATTAAAATTTAAGATTTAAATTAATATCAAACGATTTACAAACCAAATTTGATATAGATACAATACAAATGCAGATGGATTTCATATCTTCTGGAACAATAGGGTCCAAACTTCCTTTGATTGCAAATGGGTTAAGTATTATTCCAATTAATTATAGACCCATTTTAGCTTTAAATAAGTTGATTTATTTGACGAATAAAATTACACAAACATCTTAATTTTTTTTGATTTAACTTCTTATATGGTTATAAATTCTTATGGCAACCTATCTTGATCCCTATCCAAGTTAATTATCATTCATTAATTGTAAAAATATAAATGAAACTCTCCTTTTCTCTATCAAGATTTCTCAAAGCGTACATGTAACATCTTATAATATTTATCAAAGATTATAGCCAATAACAGTTCTATTTTCTATTTAATAATGAGAGAAATGAATTATTTGTTTCTATAGATATTACTATTCTTACATTTTGTAAATATTTATATTTTAACCTCCCATTAATCAAGAGATTAAGATTGACTGGGATATTATTTTCTGCTTTTGAATTAGATTTAGTTTTAACTATCACCTGACCAAACTCAAAAACTTGTTGAATTTTTAAAAAAAGCTGTTATTGAGACCAAATAAAAAATATCTTAAATATAGTTTAAAAAGTCGGCAACTTTGCATCAGTTGTATATCACAATTACACATTTATGGGGTTATGTAAGGGATTTTGAATTCTGCTCTTGATTTTGTATTTGAATAAAAAAAAGGAAATAAACTTATTCATCATAATGATACAATAAACTTGGGAAATATTAATAGCCAAATGAAATAAAGAAGAAAAAAATTTTTAGTGAAAGTGTTGATGAGTTATTAGAAAAGGAAACCAGTACTTCATTATTAGATAAAGTTAGATATTTGATAAGCGGAATTGATGATACATTAATCATTTAAAGAAATAGTACAAAGAATCTAAGGGAGATATTTAAATCATATTCGCATACCCGTAAAGTTAAGTTTAAGAATTGAATGCTAGTTATTCCTCAATATATTAAATGATTGATAGAATTCAATCAATTTATATTATTTTAATCATAAAATTCATTGGATATTTCATAATTATTTTTTCATAGTTCCTTTGAATGTTTTTGATAGTTCAGCTGGAGCTATATTAATAACTTCATTGATTTCTCTAAATGAACTACAAACTTAAGATATACAGAGTCATATCTAGTGAAAGTTGAAATATATAGCATACATACGAATAACTTTGAAACTTGCATTTAATTCATAATTGTTTAATTTGATTGCAAAAAATTTCGGACATTTAATGTCCATAACAATTAAGCACTTTGAAGAAAGTAAAAACAATGTTTTCTTCAAAAATAAGTAATTTTGTTTCTCTTTTAGACAAAAAGTTTTAATAATTTATGAATATCTTAGTAAAACTTTACTTAACTTTGTACTCCATCATTCTTAAATTTTTTCTCCTTCACTTATATGGGGAAAATTGTGTTAAAACTTAAGAATGATTATTCAATCAAATCAATCCTATTGTTCATTGAATTTGTAGATTTGTGGATAACTTGATCAAACAAAAGCCAAAAAATGTTGCAAACTCTCATATAAGCGGAGTCCTAAAAATTTTATATTAATCATTTTTTCTAGCATGATTTCATATCCTATGAAATTCATTAACTATTAGATTTAAACAATTTAGCCTTAAATCAGAGCGATATTTTGGTTATTAAGTTTTCATTAAATTTTTCTCAATACCACCAGCAGTACAACGAATGCATTGAAATATTCTCATAATATCT